AACCCCGACCCCATTGGCTCGGCATGCGTAGGCCCGAAGCACAGCTTCTCAGCTCAGGGTGAAACCTGCCTGACCTCCCGCCCACCCCGGAGCTGACCCAAACTCCTGGCTACGTGCTGTCTTCCTTGTAATCTTAGCCCGAGCCCGATCTCGGACCAGGCCCAGCGCATCAGAACCCAGCCCTGGCCCAGACCCAGGCCCCAGACAGACACTGAACCCCTAGGATCTGTGTGTTTATTTTAAACGCTTTCCACAGGGATGGGCAGGATCCCAGCCTCCAAGAGGCTGTGTGAGTTGAGGCCTCCTCCTCTGAGGAGGCAGCATTGGGGGGGCCCCGAAAAGGCAAGGGGACACCTCAAGGTGGGCACTCCAGGTGGAGGAAGCCGCCCGTCCAGGGTCTGGATGGATTGGGTCATGGCCTCGGAGCCGTCCTGAGGGGCCTCTTCCCCACGTGTCCAGTCACGCCTCCACTCACCCGTGAGCAGGGTGCTGGGGTGCCAGCGCGACAGCTCAGCCTAGTGGGGTGCGAATGCTGGCAGCCCACACCTGAGCCCGCAGGTGTCATCTCAGGCCTGTGGTGTCCAGTGGGGAGGTCGGGGACAGCTTCCGGAGAAGGCCCAGGTGGGGTCCGACACGGTAAGTGCGGGGAAGGGGCAGGAATGGGGCCAGGCTGTGGGGCAGCGGGTGTGGACAGGAGGACAGATCGGTGCTTCTCGGCCAGGAACCTCAGAACCTCAGGCCAGGACATGGCCAGCCAGGAGTGGAGCATGTGACGAGGGGTGATGGGCTGCTGGGGTGGCCGGGAGGGCCCAGGCAGAGGGCAGCCTATCACAGCGCCGGCTCCCAGGGCTGTGCCAGCTTCACAGTGTCCCCCACCAGGCCTCGGCCCAGGAGGTCAGGTGTCATCCAGGCAGGGGGCTGAGGGGGGACAGATGGACCCAGGGGTGTATGAGGCAAGAGGCTGAGAGTGAAATGGTGCTCCGTCGGAAGGTGTGTGCCCCCTCTAGGTCGTAGGGCTGTCTGGAGGGGTGAGCTCCCGGAGAGGGGTCTTTGTGTGCAACAGGCCTTGCATGGCTCCGGGGGGCAGGCATTGGTGCCCAGCACCGAGCCCAGGGTGCCCCTCAAGGGGGGGCCTCTTCTGCAGATCTGCCCCTGCCAAGACTGGCCACAGAGCGGTGGGGTGCCAGACTCGGCACCCTGGCTCCCACCGGAAGGTGGGCCAGTCGGGCTCAGCCTGGTCCTAAGCAGCCCCAGGGGCCAGCGGGGCTCCGGTGGTGCTGGAACGGGCTGTCTCTGTAGACTGGTGGGGGCCGGGCAGGGTGGGCGTGGCGCCAGCCCAGGCAGGGAAGGCGCAGGAGGCCCAGGAGGCACCCACGGCAGGGAGGGTGCTGCGCCTGAGCCAGCAGCACCACTTGCTGGGTGGACGCTTGTGCCGCTGCCAGCACAGTGGGCTCAGGGTCACTCTGCAGCTGCCCCAGGTCTGTGGGGACAGGGCAGTTCATGGGGCGGGGCCCCAGGGCCCCAGCTCTCCATCCATCCATTCCCATCCGCTCCGCCCTAGCGCCCACCACCTTTCCGGAACCCCATGCCCCGATGAGTCAGGTCCTCACCCTGGTACAGATTGTCTAGCAGGTCCTGGTTGATGCAGCTGGGGCTTGAGTGATGGACCAGGAAGCCTGGACCAAAGCAAACCCTGAGTGCTGGCCCCATGCCCACAGCAGGGAGGGGCTGGCCCAGCTCCCAGAGCCCTAGGTGCAAGGGACAGTGTGACACCAGGACTGCCTTACCCATGAGCGCAACAGCTGCCCAGCGCAGGGAGTCCTGTGGGCTCTGCAGGTAGCCCTGGGTCTGGCTCAGGAAGCGGGGCACGTGACTTGGGTACCACTGAACCTGGGGACAGAAGGGCTCATGGCAGGACAGGAGGGCCAATTCTGCATGGAAAGGAGGCCGCAGAGGTGAGTCCAGGGGCTGAGGACCCTGGGGATCCCCCAGGACATGGCATCAGGACCTGAGGCTTTAGACCTGCCACCACCTTGACTGGAAGGGTGGGAAGGCTCAGTCTGGGGGGAGGGGCCCTGGCATATATTGGACCAAGCGGGCAGCTGACCATATACCCCATCATCGTCACTGTCCTCCCCCAACTGACCAGGCGGTGGCAGATGCGGCTTAGGGCCTCAGGGCTGTTGCAGCGGGCCACGGTGACCATCTCCTCCAGTAGGCCCCAGCGTAGGGCCTGGTCACAGAGGGTCAGGGTCCACTCTGAGCTCTGGAACAGGGGAAGGGAGCAAGGTTAGGAGTCCAGAAAGTGGCAAGAAATGGCCTGGGAGCGGGGAGGTGGCCAGGATGAGGGGTGAAGGCGCAGGCGGCCCAGGAAAGACCAGGAACCTGGCTGCGCATGTCACCTGCACCTGAGGTCCTGGGGGAAGTCCCCGACCTGTAATCTTTGGAGAGGCAGCTGTCGTGGGGACGGGTGGGGCTGGATGGAGACAGCCATGGGACAGTCTTGGGGGGGCTGACCTCATTGGTGTCCTGTCTGGGGTCATACAGTCGCAACAGCAGCGGCACGAGACTCTGCAGCACCAGCTTCCGCAGGGGGCCGCGGAGCCCCACCCGGAGCCCGCCCCGGCCGCGCCGCACCAGCGTCCCGAGGAGCCCGACCGCCGAGGCGCGGACCGAGTCCCGGGCCTGCATAGGAGGGCGCGGTCAGGGCGGAGCCAGCAGGGAGAGGGTGTCCGGAGGGTTGCCGTCTGGGGGCGTGATCTGGGGTCCAGGAGCGGGGCCTCGTTGGGGAACCCTAGGAGAGCCTGGGGAGGGGGTGGTGACGGCGGGAGGGGCGGGGCCGGAGGGGCGGGCTCACGTCTTCCAGAAGCGGTGGGAGGAGCGGTCCCAGCTCCGCGCCCAGGAGGCGCACCGGCGCCCGCGGCCGCATCAGGACCCTCCGCAGCACCCCCAGTGCGGCGCTCACGAGCCGCGCGTCACCCTCGCCCAGGGCGCCCAGGAGCGCGGGCAGCAGCGTGCTCACGTGACGCACCTGCAGGGACGGGGACTCGTGGGAGACCCCTCGCAGACCCCGCCCAGACCCCGCCCAGTC